GCCAAAATGACACTCTTTAGATGGTACAACTTATTCTCGTCCACTAGTGTAGGGTGGCAGGGAGGGAGTGGTGTCGGGAGTCCTCTTCACTCTAGTTGTGAGTACTCTTCTCCGCTACATTGTTAAGAAGGATGGAGTACTTAATCTTCTAGGACTGTCCTTGGCACTTGCTCCTGCATTTGACTAGAAGATTTATGTTGATTAACATCAGACATATCCGATGCTAATCATGGAAAAATTCAATGCTAATTGAGATTAGCGTCAAATTTGCGTCAAAAATTTCTTGTTGTTAAAATCGGGGTCGGTAAATGTATTAGCATCGAAAATGTCCGACAAAAATTTTCTTTTGCATTGGATTTAGTGTCGGTAAAGATAATTGCTAACAAGTTTCATCGCATTAATGGTCGACACAAATTAGTAGAGTCTTTGCGTTCAAATAGGTCCGACACAAATTTGTGTCAACCAATGCCCGACACAAATTCACGTCGGAAAACCATCATAAATTATCGACCGATATCTTCTTGCAGGAAGCGTCCAACAATCTGACGCTATTTCGACGCAAACCTGTAAGAAACAAAAAAAAAAAAAAACACAAAAGAACGAGTAGATATTCACATACAAGCACATAACTAATACGAGCAGCATAATAATTTACTTATCCATCATCCACAACTAAAATACTACATGACTAACAAGCGTAAACAATGATAACAAACTTAATTTAACAAATACTGATCTAAACGTATGAAAGTTCCCAACTACATATAATAAATGCTCACATAAAAAAAGAGGAAAAAAAACTCGATGGCGGACCATAGAACATTGTCAAACACAATGAAATTCCTAATCCTTCTCTTACTCCTCATACTCTTCCTCGTCCACAACATCATTTAATATTTAGTTAATAGATATATTGTGTCATAAATTTTGTTGGTGCATTCTATATGTCTTGTGATTTTTATGTCACATGATTCTGCTTCTAGTGTGACTCATTTCCTTGATTATGCTATGTTCCGCACTCACATCATTTTTTTTTTGAATGAGGGATCATGATTTATCTCACAATGAAGGAAAGAGTTGATGAAAAAGGTTTTGAGCTTAATGAATATGAAGAATGGAAATCTAAATGGGGCTTTCAACGCCTAGGGGGCCCTTCCCATTACTTTATAAAGATCCTCCCATTTATAAAATGATTAATTTATTTGTTGTAAACTAAGTACTCATTACATAAATCTTAAAATATACATGATTTATCTCCATGCCTTCACCAAGTATGAGCATTACAATTAATATTATCATGGTAACGTCTTATATGGATAACCATTACTCATAAAATGTATTTCCTCACCTAACCTTTTTGGCAACACCTTTGTTAGTCAATTCGGTCATTGAGCGAGTTGATCTTCTTGGTTGACTTAATCTCATCGGTTATTTCACCAACTCAGACATAGCGTGAGTTGTGCTTCTTTTGTGAGTGATCAAAATATATCTGTCCAGACATCTAGGTGCTGATCATCATAACAACTATGTTATGTGGCATAACCACCTTATAGTTTCAATCAGACAAATAGATCTAACCAATACTGTCTA